CACATCATCCATGGTTTATTGTGGATTATTATTTCTTTTTCTTTACTCATCTGTAATTTTGCAGTCCATCTGCCAGCTTTACCATGTTTAGATACAAGTTAGAGCATGTTACTCAAATCCTTCATGTGTCTTCAGGTCTTACTCAGAATAGAAGATAAAACATCTGTAATAGATTAGAGTATCTGATCTAGACATCCATACCTGCCAGGAAGAGGTAAGTACTAAATATTGGCTCAACAACGAAGTCATAAAACAAACAAACAAACAAATAAAAACAAAACCAGAAATACAGCCAGGTAGCCATATCTATGGACTTCCTATCTATTAACTCAACTCTTCAAATCAAAGATAACTTTAAAATGTTGTTGTGGGAACATATACAATTATGAACTTTTCTACTAGTGATGATTCTCTAAACAGCAAGCATAATGATTCAATTGTTGCTTACATTATATGCAATCACAGATATTTTAAAGAATATGTGAACATGTAAATTCTATCCTACTTTACATATGAGATGAGCATCCACAAATCTTGATATGGGCTTGGGACCCTGAAACAGTCACCCATAAGATGACCATATTTTAGAAGCTTATTAATTTACTACTGATACAGGAAAAAAAGATTTATTTATAAGCATATTTGATACAGAGAATTAAAATGGAATAAAATGAAGATCTTTTCTTGTAGGAAATATTTAGGTCAAGTGGAAACAATCTCCTCTTTTGCCTTTAGCATTTGCTGCTGTTTAATTGTTAGTGCATTTAATTAAATGCAACTTTTAACTCCATCATGGTCCAGATATTTTTCTTTTAAATATGGTTAACTTTGTATCACGTGTGTGTGTGTGTGTGTGTGTGTGTGTGTGTGTGTGTGTGCATGTGTGTGTTTGTGCTCTTTAGAAACAACCAGCCAAGCTGTGGTAGTCCATGACTTTAATCCTAGCATTTGGGAGGCAGATGCAGATGCAGATGGATCTCTGAGTTCAAGGCCAGCCTGGTCTACAGAGCTAGTTCCAGGACAGCCAGGGCCACACAGAGAAATTCTGTCTCAAAACAACAACAACAAAAAGAAGTGATATTTTAGAGTAGTATCACTTTTTAATAATACAAGGTGAGTATTTATTTTTTTTGATTGGTTTCTTTGTGTAGTCGCTGGCTGTCTTGGAACTCATCCTGTAGACCAGGTTGGCCTAGAAGGTGATTCTTGATTCTCATTATTTTAAAATGTAGTGACAAATGCTGTATTTCCTGGAAAATACTTACAAGATTTTGGGTGATATTTTATAATTTATTCATTTAAAATTAAATATATAATTGAATAATTAGATTTTCTTTATTTAAATTATTGGTCAATAGGCACTTTTCTTTTTGATTACAGGGTCACTTTTTATTTATTTTATTTTTCATGTTTAATTTTTTTACTGCTTTTATTCAAGTTTATGTGTTTGGGTTCTGATTAGTGAAATATGTATGTGGGGGAGCCTGAAAAGCCTAGAAGAGGACATTGGATCACTTGGAGATGGAGTTACAGGTAATTTAAGTCACTGAGTCCTCTAGAAGAGCAGCAAGTGCTCTTAACTGATAAACTATCTCTCCAATCCCCAGAATCAGATTCCTTTCTCTTTTTTCTTTACATTGAAAATATTTTTTTCATAATATATTCTGATTATGGCCCTCCTCTCCCAACTTTTCTCAGATCTGCCCACCTTCCTACTCACCCAAATCCACACCCTTTTCTGCTCTCTCAGTCTAAACAAAAAAAAAAAAGAAAAATAATAACAAAATAAGATTTTAAATTAATAGAACAAAACAAACAAATGAATAGAAAAACCAAAAAGCCAAAGAAAAAACACAAGAAACACATGTAGACATAGAGGCATAAGCATTGGCACATGCAAATATTCCCTAAAAGCAGCAAATTGGAAACCATAATATGTAAACAATAGAAATGTACGGTAAGGGGGAAAGAGAGAGGGTGGGGGGGAGAGAGAGAGAGAGAGAGAGAGAGAGAGAGAGAGAGAGAGAGAGAGAGAGAGAGAGAGAGAGCAGACAGACAAAAGATAATGAGGCAAAGAAACCTCAAAAATACCATTTAGTTTGTTTTGTGTTGACCATCTACTGCTGGACTGGAACCTGGCTTTAAGAGTTGTCTGTGTAGCCAATGAGACTTCATTAGAACAAAAACAATTTTCATTTGCAACTGGTTATCAATTAGAGGCAGTTTCTGGACTAGGGATGAGAGCTTTGTCTACTTCCGTTCTCAGTGCTGAGATCCCATTAGGCCCAGATGTACACAGGCCCTGTGCATGCTTCCAGAATCAATTTTTAAAAACTAGATCAATGTAGTTACACAGAGACTAATCTCAACTGATTTGGGTAATTTATCCAGTTTTTAAAACAGGTAAAACCTCCACAGTTTAATAATGTATCCCAATTGAAAACTCTCAAATGTTCTCACGTTCCAGAAGTGGTTCATGAATGGGGATATAGGATGTATTTTTACTTCTAGACAACTGTTTTTACGTTCTGGCTTTTATGTTTCAAAATAAATACATTTTAAAAATCAAACCTAAATGAAAATAAAGTCCATAATGTTAAATTGAAGTTAGAGCACTGATGAATTTCAATTTAAGTAGTTAAAATTCAAATAGAGTTCTACCTTATAGTCTTCAAAATAAATTACTCTGCCTCGTGTTGTATTTATGTCATATTAAATAGCAACAGCTTATCATTTCCTGTTCCTAAGGTTGTCAATAATTGTATTCGCCAAAGATAGTGGATGATGACTTTTCTTTGATATATGGGCAACAGACCTTGAGCAGGCATTATCTTTTTGGATATAAAGTTAATTAACTTGTAAAACAAGTATGTAATTGTAGAAAAACTAAGAGTGGGCATATTTCTTTAAAGCACTCCCGCGGTGATTTATTTTGAAGTATTAAGCAATCAACCTCATTATCCTTTTTAGCAGCTGAGGAGTGTCACATGGCACTAACCTTTGTCCATTATTCTTCACTAGTCTCTTGCTTAGCTGGTTATGCATCCTTCTAAACTCCTGTTGCTATGTCTTTGGATATCTATAATTTTTAAAGGCAGCCATGTGCTCTGTGAGGAATCTTTTATTGAGTTCTCACTTCTTTCCTCCCTAACCCCGCCTAGTGCTGGAACTCGAGCTGGTGCTCGGACTATGGAGGAAGCAGTCCACTCATTATGAGAAGCGGGCAGGTTTCAGTTATTCCTCCCTGACCATGTGTGCTTGGGTTGCTCCTGTTGGGAATCCCACCCACCATGATGTGACCAGCTCGGGTTATAGATTTACCCAGTGTAGACAAGTGGGAAGATGAGACTGTGCTAAGATCATCCCACTCAGGTGACCCTGGGACTAACAGCCACTGCCTACTGGTAGCCATCTCTACCCAGGCCACTCTAACAACAGGATCTGTTTTGTTACAGGAAGCAGAACTACCCCGTTCAGAACAGCTAAAACACAGAATCATGAAACCATAACAATTATTTTTAAGTCACTAAAGTTTCTATTAGAGAGATGTAACAGGCAAGACCTTTTTACCTGATTCAAAGTTGGCTCAACAGCTTTATCCCTTCTCCTTTTCCATTGTTACTCAAGGTCAAGATGTCTTCTTCCATGTGTTGCTGGAGTTATTAGTCTGTTGCTAGGCACATAGGGATGTGACTACCTGAGGATGTTATATGAATCACAAGAAAAGAAGACACAAGGAACAGACCTTCTGCTATAAGGCGAATTTTTTTTAAAGCTGTTATAATTTTTATTCAATTAGTATTAATTTAACTTTAAAGAGGCTAACCCATGTCCACAGAGGCATTAAATAAATCTATATTAATCAATAGAATTAACAGTAATTTAGGGATTTGGGGAAGAGTCAACCTAAAATCTCCCCTTTTCCTTCTCTTTTAAGTTTGGCTTAAGTTTGGAATAGTTACAAAATTAAAATGGAAAAATAATACCATAAGGAGAAAGAGAAATGTTTAATAAGTGAGGATTGCAAAAGTGATGATCAATAACCATACTATAACCTCAGAGGTGACCATAATAAGATTATCTTCTAGGGGGATGGAGAGATGGCTGAACAGTTGAGAGTACTGAGTACTTCCTTGTTCTTGCAGAAGACCCAAGTTCAACTCCAAGCACCCATATGGCAGCTAACAACAATCCATGATTCCAGTTCTGGAGGATCTGATGCCCTCTTATGACCCCTACAGGCACCAGGCACACACATGGTTCACTGATATACTATTTGATGGCAGAGTTATAAAGCATGCTATATAACATTTATAAGCATACAACAAAATAAGTAAATCTTAAAATAAATGTTCCTTTAGTGTCCACCTTATATTATGAATGAGACCTACTCACTGTTGGCAATGTTGCTCTGTGAATGGATGCTGTATGCCAAGTTCATCTACTAACATTAAAACGGTGAAGCGGCACCCAATTCCACATCCTGGGATTAGCAGATCAAATGAGAATATTGCTATACTTGATTCAGGAATTTTGATAAGGCATAAAGGAAGAGGTATTGCTTAAAATGTTATTTTCATTGTTTGATTTCCAAAGCACTTTTTAAAGCTTTTTTTTCCCTATTCACATCATCAATAACTGCATCCAAAAGTGAGGAAATATCCAATAAACTAAATAGTTCCCTAAACACCTTTCCTTGAGGGTTAGTTTATTCCAAAAACATCTCTCCCTGGTGCATTGCTTCCTGGAATTCATATCCCTCTGTTTTAGAATTCCTTTAACTCAGGAAGAAGAAGGAGATTTGAAAATTATGCAGAGCAGTGAAGAGTATGTACGTGAGTGGCTTGGAAGTAGTAATAAAATCCTCTTCCCTCTACATTTTCAAATTGCACTTGGGTAAAGTGTAAAGGTAACTGTTTTTATTTACAAAAGGGACACATTCAAACTATTTATTAAATGTGTTTTGAAACTGTTCTCAGAGGCAAGTCACCCACAAAAAATAAGTACAACATACAGCTTTATTTATGTAGTCATACAGCCAATCTTTGTTGCCCCAGTCCATTCTAAATGTATAACCGGAAGAGTTTAAGGCTTAGCTCTCCAAGATCACATGGGGGCTTTCTCAAGTGGGAGCCTTGAGCCAAGCTGGGGAGAGAAGGCTGCGGGGGAGGAGAAAAAAGGCGGGGGAGGGAAAGGAGAGAAAGGGAGGGAGGAAAGGAAGAGGGTGAATGAGAATACCATCTGGAGTGTAGTCTCATATGTTTCAAGCATGTGGGCATCACTGTCTAGACTGTAACAAAGAGGTGACCATGGTGTTTTGGGGGGCTCTGTACACACTGAGACTGCACCGCATGCCCATCTGGCGCCTTACCTAAGTTCACACCGGGAATTAGGCGCTCCTGATCCTGTGCTAGGCAAGCACACAGGTTCCTTAGAGAGGCCACAGGTTCTCCGGTGTGCTGAATCAGTTTTCTAAGGGGAAGGGAAGGGTCCCATCTGCTGGAGCTTTAGCTCAATCCGGAGGTTTCTGGCTATTGAGGGAGGGGTGTGTGAGCTGAGTGAGGGGCTGGAAGACCTCTCAGCTAATAGCAGCAGGAGGTGCAGGCTTGCAAGGGCGGAGAAGCGTCATTTGGTGCTGCCAAATCTTAACCTGGGCCCTAGGTGCTGGCCGACTCCAGTGGAGCTGCCTCTGCTCTCCATAGTGTTCTCTGGAAGCTGTAGCTAGAGAGCCGGTCCAGCTTGAGGATCCTCTGCCCCCCCTCCACGCAACGTACCTGGCCTGAGCTGCAGGACCCACATTCTTGGGGAACCCTCCTATCGGGGACCGGTCCAGACTGGGTTGCCTCTGCTCGCTGCCGCCGCCGCCGCGCCCGCCTCGCTGCGATCCCACCAGTACCATGGAGGAATTCTCCCACTGCCCGCCCGCTCTGGGCGACTTTGACTCCAGAATATCTGGCCTGGCGCCTTTCGGGTGAGCTCCGAGGGGGAACCGGTCTCCCTGCCGGTTCGAGATTACCCGAGGAAAAAGAGGATCCCCTAGTCCCAGCGCTGCAAATCGACTCCTCCGTCAGCGTCTACATCCTCCATCCCTTCCTCCTAAGCCTCTGGGTTTGTTTATATAGCATCTGGCAGCCGCGAGGCAGCGGCCACCCCTTCCTGGCGACTCGCCCTCCCCTCCCGGCCCCTAGGCTCCCGCACGTGGTAGGCACCAGTATCGTCGCCAGCAGGCAGGCGACAGCCAGCGGGAGGCGGACGCCTGGGTGCCAGCGCCACGCGCGCGCGTTCTCGCCGTCCTCACTCATCCTCCGCGCGCCCTCTCCCACTTGCCTCTAAAGCCGGGTCACACTTGGCATTTGCCGCCCGCCCCGCCATCCGTCCCTTGACGTGCAGAGGAGATCGGAAACACTGCCCCGGAGGTGCTGGTGATGGTTCGCTGGGTTCGTTCAGTTGCTGGAAAAGAATGGTAACATGAACAGTGGAGCGTGAGAGCGTCGGCAGGGGAAGGGGACGAGATTGATGGGCAGAGAGCACACTTCCCTGAGGATCTCATTCCCTGGACTGCACGGACAAGGGACGTCTTTGCGCCTGCACTTCCTGGCTGGACTCTGCTGACATCTGTAGCCTCCTTTCGCCAGGTTCCCAGGTCGCCTAGAATGCTGCCCGCAGAGGAGTGGTCTGACAGCACATGAGGATCCAGGAGTTTGTGAGCCCTTCTTCAAACATAGTTCTGACCTGGTTATGGTGTCCCTGGATCCTGCCTGGCAAGCTGGCTCCACAGGGAGTTGAACTTGAGTTCAGGTGGGTTATCCCAAGGCAAGCAAAGGAAGAGCTGTTTGGGGAAGATAAGGAAGGTGATGTTCCAATGTCAAAAGTGGACACTATTCTTCCAGACACTTGACTCGACCAAGCCACTCCCTCCCATTCAGTTCTTGATCTTAATCTCCGACTCTACATCCTGGACCTCCCACTCTAAGGGCGGGGGATGGTGGGCAAACAGCGACAGAAAAACACCTCCTATTTACTGCTGACATTTCTAGCATGCTCTTGACTTCCTCATAACTTATCATTATTCTATGAAACGATCGTATTTACTCCACTGCTTTATATTAATGGAGGTCAATAGACTTAATGATTTCCTCAGTTGAGTCATTTATTTCTAAGCCAATAGATAATGCCGTCGTCATAGTTTTCTGGAGAAAAGTAACTGTGCGTTTGTTCTGCAGATGGCCAACTCCCTCTGAACCCTGCAGATTGGTGCTGAGCACGCAACAAAAGTTTGTAGCTTCCCCTCAGTTTCTGGTGCTGCCCAGGAGAGAGGAAAGGACTTTGGCATTAAACCCAAGAAGCAGGCAGGGAGACTTCTCTAACTTTTCTCCACTGTTACCATTTGCAATGAAGAGGAAACAGAAGAGGTTTCTGCAGATGACTTTGCTATTCACTGTGGCTTTAATTTTCCTGCCCAATATTGGTCTCTGGTCTTTGTACAAGGATAAACACCTCGTGAAATCTGCAGAACCTGCGGAGCATCAGGTAAGTACCAGCCAGGGCAAGGGTAGCAGGAGGTTGGATTAGGTATGCACCCTGCCTTGGGGGCAAGTGAGGGAAAGGTGTGGGGCATTTCTCCCAAGTCCTCATAGGACAGATTTTACAGACTTCAGGGGACTTTGGGCTTTGAACAGGTCCTGGTTCCCAGCCAGTGGCATGGTGAATGGAACATAAAATGAGAAAGAAGCATCCGAGGTCAAGATGAAAAGGTATACTCTCCCAGTTGGTCACAGATTGATTTTTGACTTGAAGAGGGAAGAAGGCAGCTGCCTTTTCTGGGAGGCAGAAGTGGATTTGGTACAAGTTCAGTTGCAGGGATTGGTTTTTGCTTGCTGTCTTGTGTGTATGTCTATATTAAGTACATCTGGCCAATTAAGTTATTCAAATTTTAAAGTGGTTTTCCAAAACCAGTTCCTTGTTTGCTGTATTCTTAACTTGAATTCTTTTGCTCAGCAAAGCGTTCTTATCCTGTGGAAACTTAAAGTTTGTCTTTTGTCTCCCCTGTTGCTGATGTGGTGGGGTAGTCTGTAGAGGCAACTGTTAAGAAGGTATAGGCAATTTCCCCCAACATTTGATGTATTTGTTGCTAAAAGGTGTTCTTTATGTGATAAACAATGCACAGGGATATATTTTGCTTTTCTTCTACTTAGCATGTAACCATTATAATGAATATGTTTGCAACATGGCTTATTCCCATGTCCAAGTAATTTTCATAGGGCATTAACAATGCCAAATATCCTTCATAAAATGCTGATGAAAGTCAATACTTTTGAATTCCTTCTGATTAGTAAATACAGCTTGAATTTGAAAAAAAAAGTTTGAACAAGGAATTGCAATCTACTTCATGAAAACCATATACTTTTCCAGTCAGTACCATGCGTTGCCCTAGAATATTAATATTCTTAATTTCATGGGTCATCACCCTTGTATTCTATGTGCTTTTCACACATAGAAGAGGCTCAGTAATCCACTTCTGGACAACAGCAATATGTATTAATGGTAATTGATTATTTGTTCCTATAGTAAGAAAAGTTTAACTTTCTGTTTATACAGTGAGTAGATAGTTGTAACTTATATGGAAGTGATCTGATGTTTTTCATTATGAGAAATTGTTACAAGTTTCTGGACTTTAAAGAAAACTCTATGCTTTGGATTTTTAGTACATTGGAATTTTGAGGGAAAAATACTGACATACTTTCATTTAGTTGTTGATCTTGATCATACTTTCTAGACATAAATTCTGTCTAGATTTGCTTTAGATTGAAGTATTATGGGGTGTGTCATGCCAATAAATCCAGAGGGGATGGAGACTTTGGCTGTGACTCCACATGATACATAGATCACTTACTTTTCCAGTCTTTTATTTGGAGCAAAGTAATGTTAAAAGTAGTAGTCAATATCAAAATTTCCACCAAATTAGGAAAATAAAGATGTTTTATGGACTAATTAGTAATACAATCTGAATAATTGGCTAGGATGGTTAACATGCAACTCTAATTAATTAATCTTATTAATGAGACCTTAACAACTTTAACTTTGGCTATTGATTCTGAGGCTTAATGAGAAAGGCGTTTGTCCATTAGCAAAAAGAAAAAAATTACATTTCAGCTGTGAATGATCCCTAATCTCCAGAGAGGTTTGCCTGTTTTGGTTCTTATGACATGAAGCTAATACTCAATTTTCAGTAACAAAATGATGGAGCTGAAAGGTTTGAGTGGTAGAAAAGCAGCTAGTTGTACTTTCTGAAAGTTTCATGCAGCACAGAGAAAAATGTTGATACCACCAATGGATATCTTGCAGTATAAAAACCCAATGGAAAAGTTTTAGAATTTTTGTAAGAAGAAAAGATACTGATAAGCTTATGATAAATATTCCCATGTACTTTAGTACTTCAATTCACATAACAAATTTCACAATTTTCCCTTTCTTACAGATAAAAAAAATGATATGGAATGTTCACATCACTATGTAATTTTTGGATGAGTAAAAGTTAGTAGGTTTGGCTGAACAAAACGTCATGTATGATGACACACACTTCATGTTGTGATATTGGGATATAATACTTTGCTAATGTACCTATACTTCAGTGTTAGTGATTTATATGCTATTGGTTGTGCACACAGGTTTTCAATGGCCAATGTAAACCGTGTTATTGAAATTCAGCAATTTATTTTCAAAAGACACTTTGAGAAATCAGGGGTTACTACTTTTATCTTGGTGTTGAAAAATGCTGAGGATGAGAATGATACACAAATGGTAGCTCTGACAGCAACAACTGCTGAAGCTATTCAGAACACGTCACACACTGATAAGAGTCGGTGTATGTTCACAGCTGTTGTGTGTGAAACCACTAGTGTTTCTTGTTCGCAGTGTGGAAAACTCTACATGGGGTTAAATAAGTACAGCATTATACTGAGCAGCAGGGAAATACCTCAAGATAAGAACGTGATATATCATGAAATCATTGGAATCTTTCTCAAATGTCCAGTTTTTTTTCCTTTTTTTTTTTGCCAGATTACATCACTAACACTCTCTCTACCTAATATCTAATTTAAATTGTATTTATTTTGCAGTGTGAGATGAATTGAAAGAAGGTAATACTTAATTCACAGGAAAAAACTGTTCTCATCTTTTTGAAGTTTGGTATTTAACACATTCTACTCTATTACTACAAATTGTTTATGCTTATTGTAGCTTTATCTTAAATACAGCATTTATCATAATTCTGCTTAATGCCAAAGAGGAAGCAAACAATTTCATAAGAATTCTTAAATTACTCTTCTAACGGGTTTTTGTGGCTTCCCTTTTTACATCATAAATTCAAATAAAATTGATAAAATAATATTGATAACAATGTAAGCAAGTGGACATTACAAGGTTGAAATAAAATATCTAAAATTAATCTTTGGCATTTTTTAAGATTTAAGATATTTATTTGCATGTTTTTGCATATTATGATTATTTGCTGTTTTCAGTTGACTTGATTTGTTCATTTTCTCTTTTTGTTGTTATTTTAAAAACTATCTCATTTATGTTATTTAAATAATATATCCGTATAGTACAATTAATAACAGTTTATTGATTGTAAATATGATATTTGGATTGATATGTGATTGCTGGGTGCTAAATCTTAATTTTTTCTTTCATTTTAAATATGTGAAATGCTACTATTCTCTGGTTAAAATTGTATTAAACTCAGCTACAAACTTGGATCATAAGCTGTATAACTGGATGCTATGTAAAATAATGCAATAATTTAGAGTCAATTACTCCCCTTATAAAATTATACATATTTCCCTTATCATTTACTCAAGTGTGTGTAGGAAGACTCCCCTAAACATTTTTATTTTTTAAAATATTCAAGAAATTAACCAGCTTTACAACTTAGTTGGAAATAGGAGCTGCAAACAGAACACAAGACTGTTCACAACACGAAGAGGCTTTTGCAATTTTGCAATTTAAAAAATAAAAATGTAAAATCCATAAATTTTTAAGCATGAATTTCTAAGAACTGTTCAGAATGGATAATTTATGGAAACTTACACTTGTGCTATGTTTTCTGGTAGATGTGAAAAAAAAAAAAAACACAACAAAAATTCCCAAACTAGACACTCATTTTGGATATATGGGCTTTCTTTATTTTTATTTATTTTCAGAATTTATGTTTATATCATAGATCTGTCATGTCTGACATATAATGAGATGCATAAAGTCCCAAGAGATTACCTTCTTGGATGTGGAATTTTTGTGAGGGAATCGCCTGTTTCCTATTTGACTATGTGACAAGTGATGCTTCAATTCACTTTCCAGCACTAAATACCCTTTCTTGAAAGACATTCTGGAGAATCTTCAACTTTGCCTAACTCTTCCAGTGTTAACCACTTCCTCATTTTAAGGGAAGTCTTCAATTTGACAGAGAATATTATTTTTTCCACAGTGTGTATGTGCATGTGTTAATTTTTATATTTTAATATAAGCACATTGGATACTTAGTACCCAGCATATACAAACTGTTTCGTGCATTCTTTTCTTACGTTAATCACTAAATTTGAACAAACTGTGTGTCCTTTTCCCATAAAACTTTTTAGATATTGGAAATGCTAAGGAGAGGAAATGAAGATTAATGGTTATCACTTTGTACCACCATAGTCCACTTTTAGTATGATACATGTGGAATGATCCGAGTTGTTCTTAATGAGCTGTAATGTGGAGTTTAAATTAGAGATTGTAAGGAAATTTTAAAAAATTTGTTGAAAGTCCCTTCAAAATCACTATAGGATAGCCCTGTGACAAACATTTTGATTCTTTCCTATGACACAGCAAGTCACTACATGATGAGTTCATCCCATTTCCCTATGGGAGATCATGTGAAGTACCATGTTTTGCTACCAATCTGATTAAAAAAAAAAGCAAAAAACAAAAACAAAAAATGAAATAGTTTTTCATTTTCCTCTTCTCATTTTTGAGTTACATATGCTAGGCTGAATTAAATACTCTCAAATAGGTTATACTGTAATAGGAACCGAGTCAAGCTGGAATATGAAGGAAAAGTATGAAAAAGGCTGAGTAATTTAAGATGTATGCAGAAACACACTGAGTAAATTGTTAGGAGTAGCCATGACAACCTTTAGGGAATTTTCATCCATTTCTCTTCATAAATATTTTATGCCAATGAAGATCATCAAGGGGACATCTAGACTTACCTCACAGCAAAAGCTAAGAATCAAAGAAAGAGGAATTCCCTTACCTAAAATCCTGAGTGGAAAGAGAGGTGGGCACATTTGTGATGCAATGATTTTTTCCTTGCTTGGCTTGCTGATGGTGAAGAGATTAAGAAAAGCATATTCAGGATACTTGAAGCCCTGTCAAAGGACGAGGATGTGATCTGTGTGTGTGTGTGTGTGTGTGTGTGTGTGTGAGTGTGTGTGTGTGTGTGTGTGTGTGTGTGTGTGTGTGTGTGTGTGTGTGTGTGTTTGCGGTAGTAT